CATTGCACAACACCGTTGACATTTGCGATGACAATAGGAAACCCGAGATCATTGACTTTTACAACAAAACGAAAAGCGGTGTCGATAATTTAGATCATCTAAGTGTTTTATTTACATGCGGCCGAGCGACCCGCCGTTGGCCAATGTGTTTATTTTTTGACATTTTAGACATTTCATGTATTAATAGTTGTGTTATTTATAAACACTATTATCCAAATGATATTAAATCGAAAAAACGTCGAGAGTTTATCAAAAGTATGGGTTACGATTTTGTGAAGAGTTTTGCTATTCAAAGACTACAGAAAACTACACTTCAAACCGATCTGAGAAAATTAATTGAAAAAGTTTTTAATACAGAGCCCTAATGTATTTGAAAATCAACCCTCAACGTCAGGCGAACAAAATAAGAAACGGTTTCGTAATAATACCTATTGTGACCTTTGTCCTCGAAGTCTCAATCAAAGGGCAACTTTAAGGTGTGAAGGGTGTGAACGACTCGTATGCAAAGCTCAAAATCATTTAGTTATCTATTGTAGTGAATGTAAAAGCGATGATTATAACGAATAAAACTATTTCTTACGAAGACTTTTAATTAGTTATTTAAAATATAGTTTTTATTGAATATAATTTCACCACACAACCCCTGTATTCATATTTAAATATGAAAACAGGGGTTTTAAATGCAATTAATAAATAGAACATTATATTAATATATACAAACAATTTCGGACGTGGTTTTTGTGTTTACCACTGACTTAATAACACATAATTATCACATGCGCTGATGTCACTTAGTATTGCATATACTTTCTATTCAGAGCCATTTATGAGTCCCTGTGCTTCAGACCTCACTGTCTTACATACAAAAAATTTAGGGACTGTTGTAGATGTGTATGTAAATTATCTGTTGTGCTTAAGCGTTAAGCAATACACGAGAACGCTATGGAAAAGGTCTAATGTTTGCAAAGTTTGTATGCAATTATATACTCCTTTTAATGGGCAATAAGCTAGTTGTAATATATTTTTGTAATTTCAAAAATATTGTAACAAAATAAATTAAAAATTATTATTAAATCCATCACGGTGCATAATCTAAACTATCATGCGTTTTACACTGGCAACTTTTACCAATGGATTATAATAGTCCATTTCCTATTACATTAATAAAATAATTACAATTACATGAGCATGAATTGTGTACAAAGCAACAATTACAATCTAACCTTGGTCTTATTGCACAGCAAAAACTTATACAGTTTAGCTCATACACAATAGCTTCCGGCTTAAACTCAACTGGGTTGGCAAAGTGACCAGAGTCTAAATGCAGTGCCCAAATGGGTATTACAATAGACGTGCCTTTTGGTGCACGTCTTATGATCCACAGTATTGTTGAACAATTGCATTTTATTTCAACGGTATTTCAACAAAACGGCGCAAAAATTGCATATAAAATGCCAACCAATCGCGAACACCTTGGTCATTTTGAAACATTCTTATTACCGAGGTGAACAGAGTTCTCATCGGGGTGCTCAAGTGCGTTTGTGTCGGCACCGGCCACAGCCGTAAGTAATAGTAGTAATTACGTCAAACGTGAACGAGACTTAAACTGTCCGGAAATCGACAACTTGGCTGTCCCTGTCTTTCGGATCCAATAGTGTGGCCAAACGTTCAAACATGTCCGACAATATCGGTAGCATAGCTTTGATGCGTCCGGTCATGAATGAGGTCGTGTGAAGCGCGTGCATACGCTAAATATCGGATAGCGCGAGATAAATAGTCCTTTGTCTATTGGCCTCAAATCCGAGGCCAGTTTCAATGTGCATTTATTTTTCAAACACGTTAATAATAATTTAATTGAAACATACAATGTTATAATTGTTTACTAAAGTTTGAGAGTTTGTTTAAAAATATTTATTAATTTATTTTTATGAATATTTTTATTGCAATGAATAAACAGAATTCTATAATTAAATTAGAGATTACATTAATTAGTGAAACATAATTTACACAACACTATCGCCAATCATACTGTTAGGCAATTGTAGTCTTTGACGTGTTATACGACGTGTGTTGGGATGCGAAACATGTGGTTGAACAGAATTACCATGTGTTAAATGCGAATTATTCGTAATGTATAAATTTAATACGTTTGGATTATTAGCAACAATAATAGTTTTTTTGCAGAAATGGATTTTATATTTGTGGAACAATTGTGTGATTAGATTAGTAAACATAAGGATTGATACACCAAACCATAGGCCCACAAGTGATCCCATATATAACAAGTACTCTTCAAATGATAATTTCAATGATATATCGTATAACATATCGGGTTCAATAGGTAATTTTAAGTATATAACAAAACATTGATTATAGTATGATCTATTTACTAGATTATATTGAGTTATGTAATAGTTTTGAATGCACTCGATTTTATTACATTTATTTAAGCACCATGATTCATAATCAGGCGTCAATGTACGGTGATATGCCATCAGTGAATCATTAATATAAAAATGGTTTCGCTCGTTAAAGCCATTATCATCTTGGTAATGTAGCGTATTAATGGAAACAACGTCATGGTCAATTTCATAACCAATTTGGCGAATCATGCATTTTATAACACACTTATCTAGTTTTTGGCCTGTTAAGCATTTATTGCCATATAGAATATAATTTAATTTGACTGTATATATCCGGTAAGAAATCGTTAAATAGCTATGATTATTTGGATTGCCTTCCCAATTACCCTTGCGATAAATATTTCGTACTCTTTCATGGCGCGAATGCACATGGACACTTAGCCAGTGGATCAATGATTTATTATTTATAGAAAGGTTAATAGCCCAGTCGCCTTTATGGTTCCGGAATTTGGTCTGGTAAAGTTCATTTGACTCATTGCCCATCCATTGAGACAATACTGTCAAACAATAGCCATGACTCAGTGAAGTAAGCGACCGGCGATACGGGACCACGTAAGAGCAATTATAATAATCATTTTTGTAAAGGATTCTACATCCAAATAAATCATCAAAGTCTATGAGTTTGTTCAATTGATCATTCATAGACTGGTTGGCAAATACTTCTCGATTGTACGTATACCCAATAAAAGTACCATTTGAGTGGAAGTCTTTGTCAAAGTATTTGTACTTTACTTCCAGTCTTATCAGATCTTCGGTTAACATGCACAGTGTAAGCGCCGGTACACTCAACTCACTGCTAATCTTGACATTGGTAGTTTTTTCATATGAGAAGTATATTAAACTGATTTCATAGGTTTGGTATAGAAATCCACACAATAGTAGTGCTTTAAATAATACATTAATTACTGTTGATGTGGACAACATTTTCAAATTAGATTTTAAAATTAAACTAAAAGCTATTATGTTTGATAAAGTATTAATTTCTGATGTGCTGACATTCAAACTAAAACAATCACTGAATTTGATTATTTTATTTAAATGAAACTCTGCTTTTAATCTCATTGCAATAACATAAATTTAATTATATTATATTATACTGTATTTGCATTTAATTATTTTATCGTTACACACAAATCAATTTTTAATCTAGCATTGTGTCAGCAAGGTTGTAGCTTCATAGTAAGCGTAAATGCAGTGGTATAGGCTATAAGGATATCTTCGTGATTTGCTTGTATTCAAACTAAAACATACATTGAATTTAATTATTTTATTTTAATGAAAATCTGTTTTTAATATTATTGCAATAACATAAATTTATTATATTATATTTACATTTAATTAGTTTATTGTTACACCCATATTGATTTTTAATCCAGCATTGTGTTAGCAAAGTTATAGCAATTGTGTTTGCATTGATATCGACTATGAAAATACAACCTTGCGTACAGTATGCTAGATTACAAATCAATATGGGTGTAACAATAACATGAATATTATAATTATAATTAGCAAACTATAATGAAATCTCAGTTCGTGACGCACGCCATGTTATTGCAGTCGTCTGTAATCTAAAAGTGTCATCATTATTTTTAACCACAATTCAGCTATAAATAATATAGTTTATAGGATCGGTCGCCCCCTCCCGACGGCTACACTTATTATTATTAATTGTATAAAACATCTTAAATTGATTGATTGAAACACAAATAATTTGTCACTTGGGCAACCGTCTGGAGACGTTTTGGAGACTTTTTTGGTTGATTTAATAGATATTAAGATTTAAAACAAACATTTGTTGCTTAAAAATAGATCTGTCAGCATTACTAAATGAGACATATAAGTGACGTTATAGTTTAATATATAGTTTAAAGAAATAAACGGTTGCCCAACTTGTCACACATAACACACAATTTGCCTAAAAATTAAAAGCCTTTATATTCACATAAAACTAACAAGAAATTTGTTATAATTCAGAGATTTGTCTACATAAACGCCGATTACTTGTCCGTCCATTACATCTAACACATAGACTGACCAGATGTCCAGAAATGGCCTGGATTGTCCCGAAATTAGATAGCCTGTCCAGAATTTTAAAAATATTTTAAACATAGTCTATGGTGGCGTTCAGGACAATATAGCTAAAATTAGTAAAATGTCCAGGAATCCAGGATAATAGGGCTGATTTTTGCCCAAAATCCAGGATTGTCATAAACTCATTTGGTCAGTCTACTCACACAACAAAACAATACGTATGGGGTGACCGACCGGTGCTCTCACCGTACGATTGTATTTCATCAGTGGTTTGAAAATAATTTTATATTTTATCATGTATTTTAAAATTTATATATTTATTTAATAGAGAGAGAGAGAGAGAGAGAGAGAGAGAGAGAGAGAGAGAGAGAGAGAGAGAGAG